GGTGCTGGTGCTTTTTTTGGTCATTCAGTGTTTCTGTAAAAAAAATTGGGAAAAAACTATCAAAATACTGATAAGATAATGATGTGAATTCTACTAATAAGAACAATATAAAACGCACTAAGGATTAATGAGCTGCTGGATGAATGAGTATTAATCAGGTTGTGTGCGTTCGCTCGAACTGATTTGCTGAAATCAAAACAGGGACGATAATAGGTGAGCGCCAGCCAATGAGATTGCCGTTTGCGCATTAGCTCCGCCCACTAGCGGAGAAACCAGCAGTTCTTAAACGCTGAAGAATTCCAAAGAAACGCTGTTATTTTGACAAGAAAATACAACAAAGAATATAATTTACATGTAGCGCGTCAGTTCTCTCTCTCTCTCTCTGTGTGTGTGTGAGACAAAGCGACGGCGAGTCGTGCTGCACATCCATTCAGATGAACTGAAAAACAGCACAGATCACTTCACGGAGAGAGAAACTCTGAAGCGCTCAGTCAGAGAGTGTTCCGCGAGTGAAATATATTTGTGCTAAACTTATACTTAGCCTCCAACTCACACACTGGCGAGTAAAATCTGAGCATTTATTAGCCATTGGCTAATATTAGTCATCATTTAGTCGCCCAGAGTGAAGATTTAGTCGCATATGCGAGTGATTTACTTGCATTGTAGAGGGTTGGATGTCCTTGCTACGTTTCTGTGCCTTGACCGTGGTAGTTCCCTTGCTGTCTATGGAGGGTCAGAGAGCTCTCAGATTCCATCAAATATATTTTAATTTGTATTCTGAAGATGAACGAAGGTCTTACGGGATTGAAACCACATGAGTGTGAGTAATTAATGACAGCATTTTCATTTTTGGGTGAACTATCCCTTTAAATAGCTCTGAAAATATTCAGTAGTCAGGTTGTAATTCAGAAATATGCTGCGCTGTATATACTTTACATTCAAATTTAAAGTCTTAAAATTATGTGGTTGCAGGTCCATAAGAACAATATTATCAGGGCTATATATTGTAGAATTATAGAATAGAGTGTTGCAGGGATGACATATTTTGCAGGCCTGGTTTGCATCTGGTTCCCTCAACAAAATCCCAGAAGAATGTTTTCAGTTGCTTATGGATTATTGTAGACAATAAGCTCTGTGACAACAAAAGTTTATAATTCTTTCATGTTTTGTTCATCATGATATTCTTTTTACCAATAAACACAGCTTTTATTCATTTTGAAGCATAAATACAATCATTGACGTAAACACTATAAAAACAAGAGGGTATTACTTATGTATTTTATGTTGTAGAAAAAAAAAGTGAAAATATCTTGAGCTTGTGTTCAACTCAGACCTTCAAAAAAACATTGACTTTGCAATGATGCAACCAGAAGTGCAAACATACATGAATGAGTTTTAGGACTCATTCATGCAGCACTGTATTCAGGAATCACAAATATACATTACCTTCTCAGTTTTGCAGATTAATATTATTGGTAATTTGCTTAATTGTAAATACTGAAATATATTGCCTTTATATTTGCTGATGAACTGCTCTTGAAGCCCTGGTTTATCAGTTTTACAAGCAATGTGATGCTCTGCATCCTGTTGAGGTCTTCATCTTTTATTTCTTTGGGTTCCCAGCATTGTGACATAGACCAGCTGTGCTGTAATGACTGGAGAAAAATAAAAATAAAAGAAATATAAGGTGAATGGAATAAACAACCATAATATTTTTTTTATCTTACTCACCAAAACACATGATTAACTTGAACTATAACTAAATAGTATATTATATATGCACACTGCTTAACATGTAAGGTTTGTGCCACAGCTGCCCTAAACTAACAGTATTGGTGATTACAAAAATAATTTCTGATGTTTCTCTAATGGTTAATCCAGCAGTATGTGTAGCTCTTTAGTCACAGTAGTAAAAAAAAAATTTTATGTTAAAGTTTTTAATGCAGATGCCCAGTTTTGTGTTTTCTCTTTATTATGACAGGTGATATAATACATTTGTAAAGCACATACAGTATTTATTGATTAATTGGGCTTCTGAATTAAAAAATAATAATTAAGTGCTTTACTATTTTTTCTGCCATTCTTGTAAAACAGTAAATAAAACAAATGATGGATAATTTATGGAAAATGAATGGATAACAACAACAATAATATTTTACTGGGACTAAAGAGCTAACACAACCATTACAGAAACATTAAAAATTATTTTTTTAAAGGGATACTCCACCCCAAAATTAAAATGTTGTCATTAAGCACTTACCCCCATGTCGTTCCAAACCCGTAAAAGCTTAGTTCGTCTTCGGAACACAATTTAAGATTTTGGATGAAAACCGGGAGGCTTGTGACTGTCCCATAGACTGCCAAGTAACTTACACTGTCAAGATCCAGAAAAGTATGAAAAGCATCGTCAGAATAGTCCATCTGCCTTCAGTGGTTCAACCGTAACGTTATGAAGCGATGAGAATACTTTTTGTACGCAAAGAAAACAAAAATAACGACTTTATTCAACAATTCCTCTCCTCTGTGTCTCTCCGCATCACCGTAGCGCCATTTTAGAGAATATGAGCTGAACGCAAGCAGCGTACGCTCTTCTGTGTCAGCTTTGGAACTTGACACACTTTAAAAATACTAAAATCTAGTATAGTTCATTTAGTTTAACCACTAACTTGGTTATTTTTATTAAATTGTAGATTCTAAATTACCGTTATACAGTAAACTATGTTTTTTGTCAGAAAACTGACACACAATCGACAACAGAATAAAACCCTCAACAGAATACAATGCAATCACTAAACTAAATATACATCTTACTAACAGTTATTATAGGTAGTTATTATGCATTTTCAGAAGAAGACTTGATCTTACCTTTACTTCGTTAATGTGCATGGAAGAGCGGGGGATGGGTCTGCCTTGCAGGACACGTGTCCTCAATTGAGCAGACGTCATTTTCCCGGGAAAACTCATTTGCGTTTACTTGCGTAAATTACGTATTTGGATTTCACGTTGAACTTGTGTCTCCATTTATTTATTAATTATAATAAATATTTTGACAAAGACAGAAGATTCTCTGATTACAAGGACCTTATTTTGCTCCCAGTACTGGTTCAGCAAACAAAAAAAAACTGTAGCTATATTGTTCTGAGCCGGACTGACACCTGCACTGCGTTCCAAACGGCACGGTGATGCCTACCGAGGGCACCTCGCTGGGAGAGAAAAAGCGGGACAATCACGATGTTCCAAACTGATGTTTATGTCTTCAAAAGTGTGTTCCTAATGACTCTCACTTTTGAGCCATACACTTTCCAAGCCTGCTGTTGTGGAGAATACAGCCTTACAAGGGTTAGGGCGCACTAGTGATGACCTGCTCTGAATAGAACACACCCCAGTGTCGATCCAGGAACCGTGACAAACAAGGACACGACACAACGTGAGCAAACTCATTACAATCAGCAAAGCCTTCATGAAAGAAAGTCGTTTATAAATTTATATTGCAAGCAACATGCATTTTATTTGAATTTTGTCATTGAACAACTACAAAAAAGTTAATTACTTTAAATGCTAAAATATGATTACAAAAAAATCCTAGGAACATATACACCGTCACGCGAGCTTATGTTTCTGCATTATATTGTGTCTAAGATGTTAAGGACAATGTAATCCAGCGATTAAAATCTTCTTTTTAAAGAGATTCAAGATATTTTAACCGTTTACTAATGAGTGATCAGCTTTACAGGGGAAACGTCGACTCTCCCTTAATACAACGGGTTTCAGTGATTGTTTAGAATATTTACGACTGTAAATATGCACATACATGAATCTTGCATTCCTCCTGCACTGAGACGCAGGACAGCTGGCGCTGAAACATCTGGAGCTGCGCGCATGCGCACAACTGCGTCTAAATGTGCATCAGAACAATATGTCAGCAAATACAAAGCTGCTCATAAATATAAACTGCTCATGTATATATATATATTTATATATATATATATATATACACACACATACATGAATGAGTGGTACATATTTTACATAAAATGAAAGTGAGAAAAAATTGCTGGGTGTTGTATAATTACATTAAATACACATATCATAATAATTGTTTACATCTTAAGCAGCACTTTTATTAATATGTAGTATGTGTGTGACTCTCGCGCTGCTCTGCTGTATCTGTGAGTCTCTTCTGGAGTCTGGCGCTGTAGTGTGGGGAAGGGACGCGCTCACACCGCTGGGGGAAGGGCAGCGATCAGGCTCAGACCTGTTTTTATAGTCTATAGGCTTGTTTGAGATGAGCAAATTCTGCGCAGAACCGATCACCGGTGATCACCGCGAGATGCAATGCGGATTAGAAAAGTGTCTGAGTTACGTCCGCCTTGCTCTGATGTCATGCTGACGTGTGCCAGAAAACTCTGGTGATGGTGAGGCGGCTGTGTCGGATTGTGCAGTCGAGCGCAGTTGCTCTCCACCGACTGCGCTGAGCAAAAGCATGATGGGAAACGACTGACTGAAGGCACAGCTTCATGCTCCTTGGTTCAGACACCTGTGATGCTGCGTTCTCTTCTAAAATATTTAGTTTTTTTTATCTGATTTCATGTGATTATGTATTTAAATTATGCATGAATGTTCCCAAAAACTCTGCCAGTGCGATCTTTGTGTGAGATATGTGCAAGACAGAGTTAGTTAAAAGAAAAACAATAATTAGAAGTGTATCAGAAGGATGAGTAAATGCTTTGGATTTTAACACTATTAACAATGTCTTTAAAATGAACTGGATTAAGCATTGTCTTTGTGAGAATAATTGTCCATGGTTCTCTATACCCAATGTTATTTTTAAAAAATGTGGTGGTCTTCATTTTCTACTTGCCTGTGATTTTAAATGCACTAAGCTCCCCATTAAGTTGTCTAACTTTCACAATCAAACTTTCGGATGCGTGGAAATTAGTCTACAAACATAATTTCTCTCCCCATTCATGTGTTATTTGGAACAATCAATATATATTATTCAAAAACAAGTCTATTTTTTGGAGTGATTTTGGAGAACAAAGGTTTAGTTTTTGTTATAGATTTATTAAATAATTCAGGTGATCTATATAATTACACTGAATTTATTAATAATTGTGGCTTAAATGTATCTTCCAGTGAATATATAAAACAAATTCATTGTATTTCCCCAAACCTACTTCACCTTATTAAAAATGAAAACATGTATAAGCCGGTTACTGGTTCTCTTCCAGATCTTACTGTTGGGGGCCTTTCTATCAGAGATTTAAAAAAATCAATAACTTTAATATTAGGAAAATTTTAACCAAAGAAAAAAGTATTCTTCCTAAGGCCATGGTGAAATGGAAACAGGATTATCCCTTGCTTTTATTTCAGAATCCGTGGTCAGATATGAATACATTTGTAATTCCTAATAAAGTCAAAGAAACTCATTTTAAAACAATGCATAGATGTTATCAATGTAATGATTTTATCAGTAAGTTTAAAGAAGGGTTCTCACCCTTATGCTGTTTTTGTAAAGAAGAGTCAGAAACCATTTTTCAGTTATAATACCAAACTATTTTGGTCCCAAGTTTCTTGGTTTCTTTTTAAATTGTTTTACAATTTTGTCACTATAACTGATATAATGGTCTTGTTTTTGGATTGTGATACTGCTCTATTGGAAATGGACAATATAATTAAAGGGGTCATATGATGCGATTTCAATGTTTCCTTTCTCTTTGGAGTGTTACAAGCTCTTGGTGCATAAAGAAGATCTGTAAAGTTGCAAAGACTAAAGTCTCAAATCCAAAGAGATATTCTTTATAAAAGTTAAGAGTCAGTCACACCTACCTAAAACGGCTCGTTCTAACACGCCCCAACATGTCTACGTCACGATTTGGGTGGCGTTATGCAACTCTTCCCACATCTTCACGCAAAGAAAGAAGGCGTAACTTTTATTTTTTGCATTTCAGAAAGGTGGGGCATAGAGGAGAAATAATAATGTACAGTATGTGGAAAATAATGTGTTTTTTGAACCTTTAATCGCATAAACACATTTCATTACACCAAATACACAAAATAATGTTCTTTTTAGCAGCATCGTATGACCCCTTTAAAATTATTGTTTTATTGGGGAAATATCACATACACAAAGCAAAATGTATGTTAACTGTACCAAATGGTAGACTGTTTTCCATTGATTTAAAGTTTTTTTATGATTATTTAACTTCAATACAGAACAATCATTAAGCTGTTAAGACATCTCAACTATTAAAGAGGATACTTGATGTATTAGATATTGTTAATAAATAACAATTTGGTCCCTCGATATTCTCTTTGCCACCGTGAAATCTTCTCAGTCTCTCCAAGTGTATAAATACGGCCGGGAAGTAAGAAAACACACAGTCCATGTATTCTCAATACTTCAATTTATTCACAGAAATACAGATCTTATATAGGCATGTCGAGGGGAGTTTTCATCCTCTTAACCAATGAGGATAGGAGGACATACCCATACAGGATGTTTTTCCCAAGAACATGTGTTTTGTATAAAATTGCCACATATACAGAAAAACATATCCATATAAGGAATAGACTTCCTGGCGACAGAGGCTGAACCCCCCTTCTAAATCAGCACAAACTCCTTTACCTTGAATATTGAGTAAGAGACATTCAAACACCATACAAGAGAGAGAGAGAACAGATAGAGGAGGGGTGATTCAGAGAAGGAGAGAGAAAGAGTGAGAAAGGAGGGGTAAGGCATTCTCAAAACAGAGAGTGTTTTCTAACAGATATATAGTCAATCTTTGAACATTTTTTGGGTTGTATTGTTTTATAGACTCATATTTATGTACGACTTTGTATTTCCCTATTGTTATTTAAAGAAATAATTTTTTTTATAAAAAATACAGTCTTTGCTTAAACATTTGCCACTGAAAGGAATAAATCCACAAACAAAATATAAACGTGCCAGCTTGACTTCTGATACTTTTAAACACATTTTATTGTAAATTAACTAAATAAAATAAATGTAATAATAAGAGTAGTAATTGTAATAATAATAATTGCAATAATAATAATAATACATATTGTTATTATTATTATTACTCATCTAAAGAGTGTATATGTGAGCAGAGGCGTTCTCCTCTCAGAAGCGGATCTCTGCTGTAACGGTTCTCTGGTGGAGGTGGAGGTGCGGGAGAACCAATCATATGAGGAACTTTAAACATCTGCATGACAGATAGGCTTTTTTCTTAGAAACTAGGAAAAACTATTTAAACGAATAAAACCACCACTAAAAGCAAGCAAGTTTGCATGTTTTCACATCTTTGTGTGGCTTGTTTGTTTTATTGAATAAACTCATAGGTACATTAGGATAATTACTCTTACTTTAGGAAATGTAAACATCTGTCCCTCCGCTTTTTGGAAGAAATACGTGTTTTTCAAAGTTATATGCCCTGATGTGTCCTTCTGCCGTGTTTCACATTGTTCACACAGCATTATAAACAAGGATCTAAGTTACTGTAGTGTACTGTTTCTCTCTGATCTCCCGGTAAGAGTCCGTGATGCACACACACACTGCTTAACCCACAATATAAGACTCAAAGTTAGAGACAAATGCTCATGGAGCTACAGGATGAGAGCTTCCTCTCGGGTAAATTATTCTTTTTTAAAAATTAAACACTAATTATTGGTTCATAGTATTAATTTATCTTTAATTTAAGTTGATTACCTGTCAATTCATTCATATACACAAGTCATTGCAACAGCAAATTATTCAGACGTGCGTGGCCTCTTGCTGGCCTCTGATTGGTCAGAATCCCCAGAGTGTGTATCTCAGCGGAAGTGCAGTTCTCCGAGAGGGCGCTGTGTTATACACACTTTGTGGGGGGAGGGGGGGTTTACACACTTTCAGTACACAAATCACTTAAAAGTACATTTTAGGGACAAGTGAGATTTTAAGTCTGGACACCATTTTAGAGCTTACTGAATGCCACTCTATAGTCAGACAAATGAGGACCACAAAACTGTCCTAAATTGTCAAGGTGGTCCTCAGTTTACTGG